TATTAGGGTGCCACAAGCTTTCAGTGGTCTGATTGCTCTCAGACATTTGGTGTTTGCATTTGCAAAGGCCACTATTTCTATCAATGACTGTCTGGTTTCAGGGTCTGATATGGCTCTATTCACAGCTGAACTCGTAAAAATTCTATAAAAGCTTCTCCAGAATTCTGTATTATTTTAGCAAAGGAGATAGATTTTTCCCCCAGGTTCCTGAACAAAATCCCAAGTTCTTAAAATGGCAACGTGACATTGTTCAATATCACCATCATCAGATCTGACTTGTTCTTGTAAGTCCACCACATACTGCCCTTCACCAAGCAGCTGATCTTTAGTAACATTTACCCCCCTTGCTGTGGCTTCATGCCTGTACCACGACAACCACTGTAACTGTTGACCAGCTTCTAGAACAGCCGACACCAATCCCTTCCAATCTTGAGGGATCCTCCTATGCTATGTAGCCCAGCTATTTAGCATTTCTTTGACAAAGGAAGAATGTAAGCCATATGAAACAATAGATTCTTTAAAATGCTTTAAATCTAGCCTATCAGGTGCCAGATCAATTCCTTATAGGCAGGAATACCATCATTAGCTGGCATATGCTGCACAAAAGGCTGGGAAGGCTGAAGATGCCTGTTTAGACCCAAGCAAATCCTCTCTGGTGGTGCACTGGGTTGTACCTGTGCCGCCTCCTGCTCTTCACGGCCCCTTGTCTCACTGAGGCCTTTGGGCGCCTGGTACTGAAAGTGTGTGGAGCAGGGTGGGACGGCACTTTACCTTCCAGCCTCTCCTCTCTCCTGATCGCACTCACTAAGGCTGAACTCTGTTGCTCTCCCCGACTCTTTCGGCTTTTCAAGAATTTTAACTTCTAGTTGCAAACTCTACATGCGCATAGCCGACTCTGCAATCTTTTCTAACAGAAGAGAATTGAGTGAACCTTCTGAGTTTTCAGCTACCCCTCCCCCCAACTTTTTCATGATAGTATATGTGAACACTACAAAGTAAACCCAGAAGACCACCTCTAGGAACACAATAGGAGACCACTCCACAGCAGTAGCTGCCGTTTTGCCAATTTCCTAAAGTAACATTGCTAACCCCTCATAATTTGTAGTTTCCTCTGCCACATTAGAGGCAGAGTTAGTCATTATGTCTAAGCCCTGTTGAGCGACACACCTGTAGGCACAAATTTTTTTGCAACCTACTTTTAATAAGGGTTCAACCTCTCCTCTAGCCCACCACCCAGCAGAGGTAGTGGAGGAGAAAAGTGATTAGGATATGGGGGAAGTGGACCTGTTCAGCAAAAGTTCTTTGGGGGCGAGCTCAATCTTCTTTGTCAGCAGTTCAGCCCTGTAGCAAACACCAAATACTACTCAGCAGCTGCAGACCAGTCCTCTAGGCAGGCAAACAGTACACATGAACCAGCAGCTACAGTCCAATCTTTTCAGCAAGCAGACACCAATCAGCTGTAGTTCAATCCTGAAAAAACCACCAAGTTTGCCAACCTGCTGGAGGTGAGACCACAGAAGTGTCAAGTTACCAGAGGAACCTCCTGAGCAGTTCTTTGGTGTTTCAATGGTGCATTATCACAAGTTGAGCTCAACACTATGTAAGGCGAACCAATACAAGCCTGTCTTTAGCGAAGAGTAGTGAGGCGGAGCAAACCAAACCATAGTTCAGTACCCATCTCCCACTGGCTGTGGGGTCATATTTATACTCCTTCATCAAGCGTCCTTTCAAGTGTCTGCTATAGCCAAACATCCTTTCACCTGTGTCTGCTTCAGGAAAACAGTCTTTTATGTGTCTGCTTTAGCAAGACATCCTTTCACCTGTGTGCCCCAGCTGAGTATCATTTAGTATAACTAACTTTCCAAAGAACAAGACATTTCCACTTCAGATGTACCTATTTGTGGAGACACATTTGTAGAGGCTGCAGGTGTATTTCCTCAGGACTTTCCACTTTGGCTTCTTGTTTGTCTCTCTTAAGCAGAGTTGGGGGTTGGTAAAACTATTTTAATATAGTTCGGAAGCTCATATCTGAGTATATGAGCTTCTCAAAGCAGAGTCTTGAAGGTAAAGGTACCCAGGTGTGGGTGCTGACTACCCAGTGGGTAGCTGATGCCTGGTTTTGGATGAAGCAGAGCCTCTCATACTTGTGTGTTTCAGATGGGCTCTTGTTTTGTGTCCCTCCTGCTAGTCTCCACAGCAATGGGATTACAAGGCGTGTATCACCCTGGCCTACCTCTCGAGATGTTTTTGCTTAGAAAAGAAAAGCTGAGTTAACCCAGACCCAGGAAGACAAAGTTATGTATAAGTGGACATTAGCTGTTAAGTAAAGGGCAATCATGCTACAGTTCACAGACCCAAGAGAGGCTAAGTTTCAAAAAGGGATTAAGGGGGTGCAAGTATCTCCCTGGGAAAAGGAAACAGGTATTTTTGTGGGAGCAGGTAGGGATGGGAACAGGAGTGATCAGGCACGGGGAGGGAGGGGACGAGGGGAGATAGCACTGACAGAGATGACTGGAATGGGGGGACATTTCAGGTTGGGATAGAAACCCAGTACAATGGAAACTCCCTGGAATCTACGAGAGTGACCCTAGTGAAGTCTCCTAGTAATGGGGGACATGGAGTCCAAACTGACCGTGTTCTATAACCAGGCAAGGCACCAACCCAGTCACAAAACCTTCAACCTACAGTCTGTCCTGCCTGGAAGATATGCTAGGGTGATGGTGGTGCAGAACTTGTGGGAGAGGCCAACCCATAACGGGTCCAATTTATGGCCTATGTTACAAGAGGAAGCCCATGCCTAGCACTATGTGGATGTCTAGGAACCAGGGACAGGACAGCCCAGAGACTCAGGATAGAACCAAACACTGGGGGAGAAAGTCAATGCAATGATTCCTAATGGTATTCTGCTGTATTCATAGACTGGAGCCTAGCCCAACTGTCATCAGAGAGACATCATCCAGCAGCTGATGGGAGCAGATGCAGAGACCCACAGCCAAACACTAGGAGAGCCAGGGGAACCTCACAGAAAAGGGGGAGGAAGTAGAAGGCGGGGGGGGGGGGTCAAGGACACCACAAGAACACAGCCCACAGAGTCAACTAAGCAGGGCTCATAGGCACTCACAGAGACTGAGACGACAGTCAGGGAGCCTGCATAGGTCTGCACTAGGTCCTCTGCATATATGTTATGGTTGTGTAATTTGATGTTCTTGTGGTCCTCTCAACACTGTGACAGCTGTCTGACTCTTTTGCCTACACTTAAGACCCTTTTTCTTCTACTGGGTTGCTTCATCCAGCCTTGATATGAGGCTTATTGTATCTTGTTAGGCTGTGTTTGGCAGATATCCCTGGGAAATCTGCTCTTTCTTTTTCTTCCTTCCTTTCTTCCTTTCTCTCTTTCTCTCTTTCTTTCTTTCTTTCTTTCTTTCTTTCTTTCTTTCTTTCTTTCTTTTGTTCTTTCGTTCCTTTCTGGGATACAGTTGGAGTTGATCTGGGGGAGATGAGACATGGTGGCAGGGACTGGGAGGAGTGAAGGGAAGTGAAACAGGTCAGGTTGTAATGTGTAAGAGCATGAAAGTTAGAGAGAGAAAGAAAGAAAAAGATCAGAAGGGATGGAATGTTGTGGAAATGTCTCTGGGCATAGCTGTGGCACTCTTGAATTCTCAATAGCTGTGATTAAAGAGGAGGAGGAGGAGGAAGAGGAGGAGGAGGAGGAGGAGGAGGAGGAGGAGGAGGAGGAGGAGGAGGAGGAAGAGGGAAAAGCTGATCCTAGTGTAAGCGCACACTCCTTTAATCCCAGCATCATTTGGGAGACAGAGGCAGGTCTCTGTGATCTCGTGGCCCGAGAGAGGATTCTTTAATGGAGCCACCTTCGGGGCAAGTGGAGTAACAGAGTAGCCAGGAGACTGTAAAACAAGCACCGGCAGAATCAAGGAGACCCTTGAAGTGTCCTTGGCCCGGGTGGGCTGGAATTCATTTGTGATAGACAGGCCTAACTGCCAATCAGAGACAAGCTACCTCTTCCAATTCGAGGAGGGGCCTCTGGAGTGCAGGTCGCAATTGGGAAGTGACACGGGGAGGACTGAGGGAATTACAGAAAAGAAATAGGGGTGGAATGGGGAACGGTGCGGTTCACATGCCACTAATGCCACCAAAAGAGAAACTGAGTCACGGTGAGGCGAGTAGACTAGGCTCTTGGAATGGCTTAGAGACTAGCCTTGGAATGAGCCGGGAGAGTTCCTCTAGTGACAACCCCCGCCCCCGCCGCATCCCCTCCTTCCCGCCTCCCAGTGATAGCCAGTCCCAGGAGAGGAGCATGCCTGCCTGCCTGTAACCTGTAGAAGAGATGGTGGCACCGTCGGACCAACACTGCTGCCACCTGGTGGAAATGTTAGCTATTTTTCTTGTTTCTCACCGTGCGCTTCCATCTCTACTGAGCGCTAAGATCAAGCCTGGAGATGATTGGTGCAAACCCATAAACCTGGGGTTCAGAAAGCAAAGGGAAGCCCCACATAGAAAAATGCACAGCCTTAGGAAGCGTAGTGTCAGCGTTCCTCGTCCTCCTGCGCATTGGTTCGGGCCTCCCTCTTAGAGCTTCTCCAAATTACATGAACCAATCTGTGTAACTTTCTTGGCATTTTAATAAGTACTCAGTAAACAAGTTGAGGTTGACCCAAAGGACAACTGGAGATGTGTAGCCCTCTTCACCTCCCCAATATAGCTGCTGTACAAACGCGTCATCTCCTAGTCCCGGCTAAATCCTGGGATACCACTGACCAAATGACTGACTGACTGTGGTTCTGTGATAGAACCGTGTGCACACTGAGCTAAAGCTGGACCCCTGGGCTACACCCCAAGACCCCCTACCACTGTTACTGCTATTGTCAATGTCGTTCTTGAGGCTGAGGCTCAGTGGGCTCTTCTGCATCAGGAGCTGGAAGCACTCCATAATCAGGCTAGCGGAATGGCTCTGGGCTGTGACATCATAGAATCCCACGCATTCCTAGTAGTGAGGGGTTATGAAGCTGTGGCAGTGGGTGACCGTGTGGGTGTGGATGTGGATGGCTGAGCTGGGGACCATAGAAACAGGTGGGAAGCTGGGCTCAGGGATAGTAGGAATAACGGAGGCTTGAGAACGGGAGTAGGCTGGGTTGTGAGTAGGAGAAGGCTGGCCCAGCCCTGGGCCTTACTCTCCTCTCCTCCCTTCTTCCTTTCCCTTCCTTTATTTCTTTTCTCCCTTTTCCTTCTCCTTCCTCCCCTCCATCTCATTTTACTTTGTCTTGTCACAGAGCGATGCTCTACAGCCCAGACCTTTCCCCCCATCTCAGACAGGGTAGGGAGGCTTCTAATGGGAGCTCGGCCAACTCTGGGAACAAAACAAGCAGAGCACTGGGTTTGTCTGGCCTTGTTGGTGGGCACGATGGCCCCTGGGCTCTTATCATGGACTCTGCTTTGGTTCTTAGCACCCAGAAGAGATGGAACCCGGGCCTCGGTACCAGGAGCCAGCTCTCAGCTCTTTGTAGACAGGCCTGATTTCTTTGATTATCCAGACTCAGACCAAGCTAGCCTTCTTGCTGTGGCCCAGTTTATTGGAGAGAAGCCTATAACATTCGTTAAGACAGGTATGAACCAGCTTGATCGAGGGGCCTCCCTTCTGGCAGGGTCTGGAAGGAAGCTGTTGTTGGCTGTCTGGCAGGTTCCAGCCCTGGGATCTTCCAGAACATCCTGGTGGGGACACTGGTGGTGGCCTTCTTCCTCCTGCTTTTCCAGTTCTGCATGCATGTGTGAGTTGTGTTTCCATGTCCTCACCCTACCCCTTCCAGAGGACCCGAATCTCCTATGTGCCCCTTCTCATTTGATCTTCACACTCCTCAGGAGCTTCCAGAAAGGGGCCTAAGGAGCCGAGCTGCAGTAGTCCTGGACCCAGTGTGAGACACACACACCTACCCAGCCTTCTGTTGAGAAATAAAGGTGGTGCCTCCTTCCTCCCTCACTGCAGTAGCCCTCTCTCTATGTGGCCACCTAACCCCCACTTCCTCCTTCCTCCCCAACTTCAAAGTGACCATTCACACATCCATTCCTCCCTGGCTGCCCAATGATCCTCTTGGTGGACACACACACACACACACATGCTTGCACACACACACACACACACACACACACACACATGGACACGTACACACACGTGCACACACACACCCTTTCCCCCTTCCTCTCTTACTACTCAATGGCTAGATAGTCATCCATCCCCTTTTCTCCTCCCTTCCCATCCCCCAAAAACTGGACCAAAGGGTCTTGCTGGCGTTCAGGAAGATCATCTTTATTAGCGGGCTGTAAAAGCACCTCCCGGGGTCTGTGGCCCCCAGACTGGAGGAAGCCGCGATTGGCCTGTAGCACCAGGGACAAGCCGGGGCCGAGGGCTAAATGTGCCCCTGACAGAAGGGAACTGGCCTGGCGCCTGCCCCCAGGGCTGCTCAGCGCTGGAAAGGTTGTAGGGGGAGCAACTGCCTCCCTCCCCTCACCCCAACAAATTAGTTTGATATGGGTGAATAAATAAATAAGGTCCCTCAGACTGCTCTCCACAGGAAGGAGCTGTGGGGGTTACCTGCCCTTTCAGGGCCCACATGGGGTGAGTTAGGGTGTCTTCTCTCTCCCCGGTGATGGGGAGCAGAGAGGGAATTGCAGCAGCAAGGCTAGGATGTCCTTGGCAGCGGGGGACATGTCCCTTGACTCCTTGGTCCCAGTGAGCCCAGTCTCCTCCCGTTCCCTTTCATTTTGTTAGCACAGAGGCAAGAAGAGGCTCTTCATCCTGGTCCCCTCTCTTCCTGCCTGCCAATCTGACCTCAGCTCCCGAGGGTATATAGCTCCTCCTTATTCTGAGTCCATCTGTCTTGGGGCTGTCAAGGCAAGGGACTCCTGGCTCTCACTCCTCCCCCCCACCCAACGCACACACCTATTAGCCCCAAAGCACTGTCTCCACAGGGGCTGGGGAGGGGGGATTTCCAGGGCCTAGCCTCAGTCCTGGGTCTGACAAGGAGAGGGTGGTGGGGAACCTCGGGGTCGGAAGAGGCGGCAGGCCCCGCGGCAAATGAGGAAGAACCAGTAGAGCTGGGGTGCGAGGAGTAGCGCGGCGCCCAGGTTGACGTGGACCGGGATGGCCATGGGCACTGAGAGCAGGGGCAGGCCAGCGTGGCGCCCATAGGCCCAGTACAGGTAGGGGAAGAGCAGCACCCGGCAGCACAGGAAGCTGAGTAGCATCAGGGCTCCATTCACCTTGTGCAGCAACGTGTGCTGCTGCTTGTACTGTGGACAAGAGCGGCGCGGTAGGGCAGGGAGAGGTAGGCGGGGTTCTCTTCCCACAGCTGCCTCCCCTCCACCCGGCCTAGGCTCCTCCCACAGCCGCCCCTGCCCCTGGCCAATGTTCTTACTCTTTATTCTTGCGTTTTTGAGACAAGAGTTTCACTATGTAGCTCAGGCTAGTCTCAAGCTCATGATCTTCCTGCCCTCGACCTCCCCAGTGCTAGTGTAGTAGGCACACACCACCACGCTGAAAGGCTGCAAGGGCTTTAAGGAATGCCCCAAAAGTCCCCAGCCGGTGTCCACCCCACAGATTCACTCTCACCTGGATGAGGATCTTGCCCAGGCAGACGAAAGGTGTGCTGACCTCGGCCATCAACATGCAGCCTAGAAAGAAATCTCCCTTGCCTTGTCGCCACACCTAGGGGAAAAGGCAAAAGCCTGAGGAGCTGTGCCTTCCTGTATCTCTCCCCTCAGAGATACTTTGTGATCTCTCGCTGTGCCCCCATCTCTCTGTTCATCTGTGCACGCACGCGCGTGTGTGCGTGCTTATGTGTATACATGCATGTGAAGGCCAGAAGTCCCATCTCTGTTCACGTGTGCACGCATATGCGCGCTTGTGTGTGTACATGAATATGAAGGCCAGAAGTCAATTTCCTCAATTGCTCTCAATTTTACTTTTTTGAGGAAGCAACTTTCACTAAGCCTGGAGCTCACTCATCTGGCCACCCTGGCTGGCCACCAAGCCCCAGGGACCCTTCTGTTTTCACTGCCCAAGACCTGAGATTAAGCACACACTAGCTTTTGAAGAAGACTCTGGTTCTTGTGTCTGCATAGCAATCACTGTACTAACTGAGCCATCTCCCCAGCCCTATTCCCCCGCTCCCCCCCCCCATATCCCTTTTTCTCCACTCCGTATAGCCCTGGCTGTCTTGGAACTCACTCTGTAGACCAACCTAGCCTCGAACTCAGAGATTCACCTGCTTCTGCCTCCTGAATGCTGAGATTTAAGGTGAGTTTTTTTTGGTTTGGTTTGGTTTGTTTTTTTTTTTTCCTCCTTTGGACCAGAGTCTCATGTCCCCCAGACTGGCTTCAAATCCACTATGTAGCAAAAGATGACTTTAAACTTCATATCTTCTTGCTTACACTCCAAGTGCTAAGATTATAAGTGTGCTGGCTTTACAAAGTGCTAGGAATTAAACCCAGGCTTTCACACATGCTGGGGAAACACTCTGTCTGCTGAACTATATCCTTACCCAGACAGACACGTAGTCCTGGGTTATAAACACTCAGTACACTCTTTTCTCCAGTCTACAACCCTGCAGATTAAGAAAGCATGCCTTACACAATAGAGGAAGGATGGGTTTCATATACAGGCAGCCAATGCTCTAAGGCACCCACGCTGACTTGTACCTCTTAAGACTCTGGGAGGAATTCTGCTCCAGAAGCCCCACCCCAGGTCCTGTCACCAGGGACCCCCCCACTCTACTGTGCTGGCATGCTGGGCAGGAATGGCTTCTCACCCCCCACCCCTGAGCACCCCTGAGCCTCCTGACTCCAGGAGGAAGGACTCACCACGGACAGTGGGAAGCACACCAGCACCATGGCCGCGTGGTGGAGCACCATGAGGAACTCCTTGTGCAGGTAGCCACGTACCACGGCCCAGGTGCTGCCCAGGGCTCTGGGCATCCCATCTTCCCCTCCATGCCCTTTAACCTGGTGCTTGTGCCAATGGCAGAGGAACATGGCATAGATGTCATAGATGAAGTAGGGAACTGCAAACTGTGTGTAGGCCGAGGACAGCCAGTGCCTGCGGGGAGGGGAGAGAGGAGAGGGGTGGACAGGGTCTCAGCAACCCCTAGGACAGGATGCTCAATGGGAGGGAGTCAAGTCCGTAAAGGCTCTCATAATAACTCTTGAGGTTTGAGTTACAGATGCTGGAACTGAGGGCAGGGATACGAGAAACCATCCAAGGCCAGACATTCTCCCAGGCCGACCTCACAACCCCCGGTGTCTCTGTCTTTCTCACTGTGTCTCTGTCCCTCTCCTTTATCCACACTTTTCCTCTGTAGTATCATGGGGAGAGGAGACCAGAACACTGCAGATCGTGGGCAATGACAGAAATGAGCTGAGACAAGACACAAAGACATCCCCAGTTAGGAACCAGTGAGAAAGGTCTAAGGTCTAACTGCTGTAGAGACCCTGCGGCCCAACACCAGCTGACGTGACGGTTCTCACATGCCAGCCGCTATGCTGGCACTTACATATTTACACAGCACCAGCTCCTTCACCTCTCACAGAACCTTGTACTACGGAGAGGTTAAATAATGTGGCCAAGGAATAACCACAGGAGTCCTTGCCATCAGCCCCGCTGTCTCAAGAAGGTTGGAGAGTTGGAGCCAGTCCCCAGGGCACCAGAGGAGCAGTCGCTGCAGCCTGCCTTTGCTCCAAGGTGGCAAGTCTATTGTTAGCTCAGGTATGGCCAGCAGTACAGAGAAAATGCCGAGCAAAGATGCCAAGAACAGAGAAAGTTCTATAGACTTTGGAGTAAACAAATACGGGAAGCACACAGATACGCAACTCTGCGCTTTTTTTTTTCTCTTGAGTCAGCACAGAAGCTTTCTCAAGTCCAGGAATCCTCAGTCAGGCCTGAGGTGGGGGTGGGAGACAGAAAGGCCCAGAAGGAGCAGAGCAAAAGGCTACCCAGCTAGCCACCGTACACCAAGCGAGTGCTGGTGAGAGAGTGGGGAGCACTGAGGTACAGATGAGGAGTGTGTGAGAACAAAGGCAGCGGCTTACCCCTTACCCCAGCAGGCTGACCTGGGAGGGGGAGCAGCCCTCCTTCGAAGGGACCCATATTACAGCATTGTAGGGAGATGTGGCCAGGAGTCAGAGTCAGGTGGCAGGGGAGAAGCAGGGTAAAGACAGCAGAAACACGGACAGGACCCCACCGTGCTCAGAGAAGGCTCAGAGCTGCCTAGGGATGTGCTGAGGGGTGGAAGCCACAGGACTCTGGGATGTGGAAGAGCTAGAACGGGCTCGGGCCCTGGTTGACAGGTGAGGCGTTAGATTCTGTTCCTGCTCTCTCAGCAATTAGGTGCTCAGAAGGAAGGACAGCTGTTGCCCCCAGATTAACCCTGATCCTTCCACCTACCTAAGGATTAAAGGTGGAACAAGGCCAAGAGTGGACTTAAGGTTGGGAATACAAGAGCCAAAAGGTGACCTCCAGCTAAGCATAGGTCAGAAGGAAGTGCCCAGCACCAGGCTTCTCTGGGACCCTTTAGCTGGGGAAGGGGTTGGGTGGAGCAAGGGGAAGTCACATTATGGAAAAGGATCCTAAGAGGTTAGCCTCAGCACTATGGATCCAGGAGCTGTTCTAGGCACTTGACACACTCAGTTCCTCCCTGCAGAAGCTGCTCTGGGGAGGAATGTGACCTCTCCATAGGTCCTCGGAGGAGAGAACACTCTCCCGTAGGAAAAGAAGAGACAGACACCAGAAGGCAGATGGAGACCAGGGTCACCCAGATAATGTCCCCTGAGGCTCAAAGGACACCACAGAAGGACATTAGAGCCAGAAGCTACGAGTCAAGGAAGGGCATC